TATGCCTTATGTGGGTAAAGGCATAAATTCCATAGCACAAAGAAAGATAACATGCCAAACCTCCACCGCCTTGTTGCACGCTGCATGCATGCAAATGCTTGGCGGGTGGGTGCTGGAGCGAATGCATGTTTGCCATACCTGCTTGGATGGCTTTCATTCGTCTTTGGCACCTCTGCTAGGGCTGCTCTGTGGATTTATTTTTACTCATGCCTCCTGGATGGCTCACACCATTAGCGTTAACTGTATCTGAAAGGATCCTGAATAAGTACTCATTCGGTCGAAGTTTGGTGTTGCTGGTGACTTGGCATCGTTCTCCATTAACACATTCTGAATCAGTCAACCTTCTCCTTCATCATAACACATTTGATTGATGCTGACCATGCTGCAATATTTTGTGCAGTTAAGCGCAACATGGAGCCTGTGTTGATCATGATTCGACGAATAAGAAGCGAAAACTGTTAGACCATGACATATGTTGAGGCGTTTCGGCTGGTAACAGCTCTTATCTGTAGCTTTTTTCGCCATGGCACGTTACATTATTCTACGAACAACTTATTCGCTTAAAACTAACTTAAATGGCTTTATTTGAATTGTTGCCCATGGATTAAGTGTGCAGTGCCTATCAGAACGATTCTCAGTGCTAGATTTTCCCGGCTCCACCCGTGTAAGTGCAGACCTCCTGCGCAAGCCTCCTTCGTCCACTCGTTCCAGCACTCGATCCAGTCTCAGGGACTAGTCCTCGTACCCCCCCCCCCCCCCCTCCCCGGCTTCCATGCCTCCGACCCGTGCGCACCGGCCCTCTCTCCCCGCCAGCCACCGCTCCCACATCGGGCGCCGGCTCCTCCCCCGGACCAGCCCCCGTTCCCATCTCCGGCTCGGCTCCCCTGCCGCCCACCCGTCCGACCCATCCCGTCCCGACGCCGGCAAAAAACGCCACTCCCGAATCCGACCGGCAATTAGCGACTCGGGGGCGGCCACCGGCTCGGCACCGCCGCCGGGTCATGAGAAAGGTCAGTACGGCTGGGCGCAGCCGCCTCGGAACACACCCTTCGGCGGCCAGTCGGCCGGATACAGCCTCCGACTGGTCAACGGCCGGCGGCGAGCGAGCGCTGCAACGCCCGATCACGCCCGAGCGCGCCCGATCACGCCCGAGCACGCCCGAGAAGGCCCAAGTGCGCCCGATCACGCCCGATCACGCCCAAGCACGCCCGAGTACGTCCGAGTACGCCCGAGCACGCCCGATCATGCCCGAGAACGCCCGAGCACGCCCGAATCACGCCCGATTACGTCCGAGCATGACGACCGTGCCCTGGGAGAACTCGGAATTCGCCCTGTATGGCTAGGGCCGACAAGGAGCAGCTCGCATTGTCCGCCCGTGCCAGGCGTGAGCCCCCTCCTAAAGGAGTCTCCCGCGTCCTGGGCCTCCTCGCGTCCTGGGCCTTCCCGTGAGGACTCCGTGCGGGTTGTGGCTTCTCGGGCGACACCGGGCCGCATTCGACGATGCGTGTTTTACTGCGAAGACCAGAGACCGAGTGGACGACCCGAGCGTCTACAGGTCATCCATTGCCGACCCCGTCTCCGGCCTCATGGCCGTTCCGTACCGGCAGCTGCAGCCGGCAGCCGATGCATAAGTGACATAAATTCAGCTGGCGGCGTCTGCTGGCATGGAGGCCCGTCGCGAGGGCAGGTGTAGCTCGCCGGTCAGAGACGTCCAGTTCATGAGGGGCGCTGAATATCCTGAAGTCTACCATGAAAGTGATTGGTGCATCAGCTGCCAAATGTAAACAGCCGTGGCAGTCGTCTACTTTGGAGTCTAGTTTAGCATTTCAATCAGCAGCATTTTACCTTGACTTCACCGAAGTTGTGGTGCTACAAGATGCTGTTGTGTCCTAAACATCCTCAACTGCACGGCATAAAACCCATGCATAGCATAAACAAGTACAATCACGTCGCCCTGCCCGGTTCGCAACACAGGTCCCCACCGAGCGGCAGCGCTGTCAAGCCAGGGTCCGTGTGCCCGTCATCTCCAGCCAGTTCCTCACCTGTCAAAGCCGACCGCTGGCTCTCCTTCGGCAGACCTCGATCCACCTCGGCTCCGGCTGCGTCTGGCCGGCCGCTGGCGCTCAGTTCTGTCTCTACGGGAGCGCGCCGGCCACCGACAGCCCGCGCCGCACGTGACGCCCGCACTGGCCGCGCCGACCGGCGGCCGCCGCCCGGCCGGCGCGCCGCCCCTCTGCCCGCTCCGGCGCTCTGCCCGGTCGGCGCCGGCCGTCCTTCTTTGTTTGCGGCGGCGACGGCGGCCGGCGGCCCGCCCCTGCACCCATTACCCGCCGCATGATGTACGGTGATGACACGGCCGACCAAACAGTCGCCGAGCCACAGGCGACGCGCTCGCGCCGGGTCCATGGACCCCATCACACCGGGCCCGCACGGCCGCGTCAGCCGCAGCGGCCGAACGCGGCGCAGCGGTGACAGCCCGCGAGAGTCGAGTGACTGCCCTCGTGACCCTGATGACGTCACGCGGGGTCCGGTGTCGCTAGGTTGCGTCTCGCCCGTTCGGCTGGATGAAACGTGCAGGGGGATGGTGGGCTTTCCAAAGCGGGTGCCGACCTGAATCACACAAGCGACCACATCCGCCGGTCTGGCTTGAAGACCGCTTTTGTTCTAAGAACGTTTACTTAGGCAACACCCCCTCGACCGCCGCTTCATCGAACTGCCCAGCCATGCCTGAACTCCACCGCTTAAAATGGCCAGCTTACAAAGCTCGAGCGCCGAAAGGGCACCGCCGGGCGAGTGCTGTCGGCAGAGGGCAGCGGCCCGGCTGCGATCCGCGGCGATAGCACGCCCGGCTAGAAAGCTAACACGGGCGATGTCAACGCAAACAATAAAGCAAACAAGCTGGCCGCGGTCGCCTCTAATGCGGTCGGTCAATTAGGCGGGCGGCGGGGACGGTCGGACGTCGGCGGCCGACTGACAGGGTCGGCTTATCGCCGCCCGGCCGGCGCGGCGAAAAACGCCCCGTACACAGGTGTCAGGGCGCGGGACGCTCACGGGGGGGGGGGGGGGGGGGGGGCAGGCGAGGCGCTACGAGCGCGGAGCGGGACGATTGCCGTCGGGGTGCAGAATGGGTTTATCGATGGAGGGGGGAGGGGAGCTGTCGGGGCGTCGGCGTTGCCTGGATATACTATGGTGGTAAATAGCAAATTCAATTAGTTGTTAAATCATGGAGTGCTGAATTTTAATTTCACTATTCTCATAAAACGATAAGCCATATGAACGTCAAAGGATTTGGCACCTCAGAGAAATATGATGAAATGGATTTCAAACAATTGGAGCAACTGTCACATGACGCAGAAAGGGAAAAAATATATTTTTGGTTAACTGTTCGTTTTGTTCACGCAACCTGCTACTTCCTAGTAAAAGGATCGAGTGCGTGTTTGTTGCAACTTTCAGTTCTTTTTTCTCTCTATTCATTTAAGAAAGAAGACAATATTAGATTCGTACGGACGACGATCAGTGCGATAAACAAGCTCCCTCCATGATCTTTCAAACACAAGATGCATTTGCACACACATGTTTGTATGCTCCAAATATTGGGTGCAATGCAAACATAGTTTTAATGCAAAATAAGGCACAGCCGGTGCCCGGACGAGCCGTCATAAGATACCGGTGCGGTTTAGCTAGCTGTACTCTGTATTATTTTCTCATGACGTAAGATCATGCTTGCATCGCCCCGCCATTCCGGTTACAGTTCTTAGTTCTGCGCTGAGCCGTGCAGCGTCCAAAAGTGTTGTGCTGTGGTGGCAAAAGCAATTTTTGTACGCATTGGTTTTTAAGCGACGCCATTTGAGAACTTAAGTCACGTGAGAACTAACGTCGCAAACGTCACCTGTTGTTCAATAGGTAGATGATATTCAGTGGATAGCGGCCACTTGTTACCATCCCCATCCATTTTTACGCTGATAATTACGTAGTAAAGTACCTCGATCAACGAGGTGTTTCATGTGAAATTCAAAATTTTGGAAAGGATTTGTTGCGGACAGAAAATTTGTGAGCATACTGCTTTGTATTATTGTTGTAGAAATTTGCTCATTTTTGATTCAGTGTTTATTTGCCTAATAAAACGTCTCCACAACTTTTTGCCTGGCAAAAAATATCCATAATGCCCCTGAATACGAGCACACTTCTCCAAAGTCCAGAATGGCTTAAGCCTGCTACGGCTGCTATTTTCTTGCAAATAACGTGCCTAGCCGTCGAGCGCGGGGACGGAGGTCACCATCTCTTGGTCCCATACCACAACAATATCGTGAAAGGCGCTAATCTAAGTGAAAAACAATTTTCAACGGTGTTTGCCAGATCGTGCGTGCTGGGCCTATTTGTACTATCTTAACTCGCACTTTTATATTTGACATTTCAAGAGAAACACCCTGCAGTATGTTTGCACTATCCAGCAAACCAACAGTGTAGCCATAGGGATACTTTGTCCGCAAATCTGCGGGAACTCCGATCTTCTAAGGAAGCTCTCACCGTCTTGCCTTGAGCCGGCAGCAGAGTGTCGTCATCCGATTCGCGGCGTACGCCTCTCACATCCCTGGCATGCACAGGGACGCCACTATGCGCCAATTACAACACCGGATGGCCACCTCAAACCACCTCCTCCGACGCCTAGCAGCTGCCGCCCGGACCAATCCACATCCTCTCCTGGACATGCCTGGAGGCGGTAGCGAATGATCAAATGAAGCCCAACGCAATAAAGGAGTGCAGTTTCGCACGCAGCTCGCATATTTTTTGTTTTCCTCGGATCAAATTATTAATATCAAAATCCTATATTCTACATGTCTTATGGGAAACACACCGCAGATCATAGAAACACCGTTAAATATCGTCATCGCATTAAACACATTATCGTTACTTACATTAACTCACCACATACGTTACAGGTTCACGGCCATTCTCGTCTATCGGTCTCTCATCATGCCAGCTTGACAGCTTCAGCTGATATTCTTTCCCGCCCTCCCGAATCCCTCACTCTTTCCATCAACACGTATCGTGTCGAATGCAGTTGGGGATGTTGGACCCTAGCTGGATGTTGACCTCACTTTCATTTTGACCCACTGACAAACTTGCGGCGAGTTCCACATCCGGATTGAACGTCTCAAACCAGACGCATAAAGCAGCCTCAATGCGCAAAATGCTCAGTTGTCATTAGCTACATTTCCCGGCGCACTTACATAGCACCTTAGTCCAAAGCATTATCCCAGCTCTCCGCTCTATTTACGATCATCACTGACTACCTGCGTGCCGTTTTGCGGCCCGATTTTTTAAAAATGAGACGTGACAGGGTCTCACGCTTTTAAAACAGCATAAATTGTGCGATTCAAGGTGCCGATCAGTCCACTCTTACTGATCAAAAACGACTCAGGCTTCCGGTGAAACCTCCGCAGAGATCAAAAGGTTGGAAGCTCTTCGGACCAATTCTTAAGTTGTTTTGACCTCCCGGCACCTGCCCGGTTTGGGCGCAAGCAATCTCCATTTAGCAATCATCCCACCCTCCCATTTTCCGGCGATCATTTTGCCGAGGTACCCGCCCCATTGTTGTAGACGCAGTCGCGAAGACCGTCTCACAATTAGGAGCAGATGGAGCAGATTTTTCCACGGTCAAGAACCCCCGCCCCTGACTACCATTCACTGCTTCCAAGAGCACTGCAATGCGTCATCAGGGGCTGTTGGGCTGTCAGTTTACCCCCGGTCTGGAAGGCCGGCCTTTGATTTATCGGACCGGAGCCAGGTAATTTGAAAACAAGTGGAGTCGATTCCTCCTTGCCTAATTTAGAGATTGCATGCATTAGCCAAGTAAGAAACGCGCCTTTCCCAAGGCCCTCGTTGCGAAATCGGTACCTACTGAGCGAATCGTGGGTTAGGAGAGTGGGATTACATGGCCACTGCATGCATTACACGTCTTGGTAATGAGCCATCAAAATGATGGTTCCTCTCAATGAGTTCCTATTCTTTGTGCAAGGATTCTCCCGTGGCAATCACCCAATGCACAAGTTTCCTAGAAAGTGCAAACCATCCTTGTAAAGAACAGCTGTTCAACATCAAGAAAACACAGCTACTGGGATGATGCCAACTTACGTTTTGTCTTCAGCCGCAATACTGTGTACCAAAAGCCACCACGAGGGCAGCCACCGTGTAGTATCCGAATTTGACATGGCCGCTTCTAAGGGCCAAAATTTTGCAACGTGACTAGAGCGTAGAGAGCAACCACCCAGTAAAACCAAGTTGCGAGTACATCGGAAGGGTACGTCTTCACTTTCTTTTATTCGCCGCCACAGTCATTTTTTTGCGGTGGATACAATCGTTCCATTAAACCATAAGCAAAGGGGCGGGGGAGGGTTTTGTGACCCCCATGGCACCTCCACTTTTAGAGAATGCTGACAATTGAGGCCATGCCGACGCATGAAATGAATCGACTTAAAAATAGCCTTTGGGCACGCTTACCCTCCGAGCTTTACTTACGGACCTCACAGCTGATTCATTTTTTTGGCATTATGCAAAGGACGATCGAATGTAAGGAACTCAGTCGTTTTTCAAGACCATATCTGCGTTCTGTTTTGTCTTTTCAACAACACACAAGGCCATCGTAAGGCCTCAGGTGTCAATTAGGGTGATCTGCTAAGCGTTAAAATTTCTTGCATGAACGTGTCAAATGCATTAGGTGGTTGTCACTAAAGGACTGCGTAAACATATGCCAACGAACGAAGATGATCCATCATTCTAATGGCGACCAGAAAGTGTCATTTTTGTGAATGGTTATTGCACGCAAAGCTGGAAGAATATTCAAGTTTTATTTGGAATCAAGATGCATGGCTTGAGGGCACGGCATCTCTACTAGGATTCGGAAGCCGAGGGTAGCCGCGGATCAAGCTACCGGCGACGGGGCAGGCCACGCGACGCTCGACGTCAGGTTAACCGAAGCGGCTGCAGGACCCGCGCACAATGATCAACACGTACACTTGGATAGTTGGAGAGAGGGGGTCTGTATTGGGCCCAAATGCCTGCCTTCACGAGGCATATTTGGCAGCCACACTTGTGCGCTTCTCAGGACCGATATCGCGTGGAAAAAACATATTACCATCATCTCGCCTTTTTCTTGTTACAAGCTT